GAAGAGGAAGAAAAAAAATAATTCGTCATAATTACGAATGCCTCACAATGAGATATATACATATTCACGATCTTTTCTTTCTGTTTTCTTTAAATAAATATGTAAGCCAGAAGAACAGGCTGAGTTGTTTGGCTGGCATTTTTCTGACGAAAACAAAAGCATCACTGTTGGAAAGGAACATAATTGACGATGCGTGTTTAGGAGTTACCCTACGTATTTTTTTTTTGCCTTCTCTCTGTCATCTTACTCTCTATGAACACCACGAGCTTATCACAAGACGTTGGACGAAGAAAGGAGTTAATTCCAGTGCCTTTGAGCTATTGCACCAGACTCTTAAGAGCATACAGCATACTGTTATTGCTGAGTGAATTAAGTGTCATTAATGTTCCTTTAATTTTACTTTTTCGGAGACATCACAAAGCTGTGAACAAAAAAAAAATATCGACAAAAAAATTTACAAACTTTTTTTTCATAATTTCGATACATTTCCGTTAAATAAGAAAGACTCGCGAAAACATGAAATTAGGTCAGAAAAGAAGATGAGCGCGAATTTGTTCAGTATTTCTTCTTATTTATAGAGGAAGCCATTTAAGGCATCGCACCTTAATTAATGCAATTTTTCTTTTCGTAATGTTTTACTTATTTTAAGTCTTCTTCTTGCCATCATCAAAAAACTACGATTCATTATAATTTGTTCCAAAATCTCTTCCTTTAAATCGCCTTTAAGAAGTCATTGAATTTTTCATATTAAATGCAAATTTCTTTCTTATTTTCGGATCATTAACATTACCATTTGGCTTTATATATGTCCTTAATAATGTCTCATGTAGGCATTTAAAAATCTCTAATGAGATGAAAACTTCTTCTTATCAAGATGGAATTTTTTTGTGTTGTGTCTTTGGCTGTATGTTGCAATGGTTAAATCGACTTAAAGGTCGGTCCAAAAACTCTGTTAAAATGAGGCTGATCTCGACTTTATTTTTTTTTTCTCTCTCATTTTTAGTGGAATTTTTTGCTTAACTTAAAGTACGGATTTGCGCTCACTTTGACTTAACAGTTTGGTGTTTTGAGTTGATTTGACTGGATATAAATTGTTAAGAGGCAGTAAAAGTAACAACCAACTTGTATTGAAAACTTTTAAAATAACTTTATAAATGGTTCTAATGTCGTCTAATGCTAAAGTCACTAGCTTTTATCTTGTCAAGCAGACGTCAACTGTTTAAGTTTTACAGTATCAAACTAAAGATATAGCAATGTCTGCTCAATTTCAAGTTATTAAGTTCCATATTCATGCAGCAAAGCAACACGACAGTTTTACTAATTGAGCAACAAAATTGCGCCTTTAATGCTGACTAATCTTGATGTGACTTTTTAACTAGTTTCTGTATAAATACAAAAAAAAATTATTTATGTATGAATTTTGTTCCTTTTCAGTACTATCAGGTTTATAAGAAATTTTAATTTATTATATTAAGTATATCGAGCGCTGTGAGATGTTCACAAGCGCTTCTTTCTTTCATTTTTTATGTTCATTTTGTATGCGATCTGCGATAATAAAATAAGCAATAAAAGTATAATAAGTTCTGTACACAAAGTACACAAACAACGATCCGTTGTTAAATTAAGTAATTTAAATAATGAGCTATAATAATAAGTCATTTTTTCATACACAAAAAAAAAAATCTTTTCACCTATATAATATAGCCAATATATATTAAAGAAAATAAAAATAAAATAAAATACCAATTTCTCATCTTATGATGAATTTTCCTCCTTTTTATTTTATTTTTTTTTTGTTCTTCACGTGTATGGACTGTACGTCCCTCAAGAAAAATGAATTTGTTTGATGTTTTTAAAGAAAAAAATATTCAGGCTCATTTAAAAAAAGGCTTGGAGCTGTTTTGTTGATAATTATTCAAATTTTACGTAATTTGGAACATTTATTGTAAAATCATTAAACACTTAAAAGAGACATTTTAATATATTCTTTTACATCATACAATCTCATCGTAATAGCCTTCCAATTTAGTAATGTTGTCGCGAACTATATTAAGGTTCGCAACATGATCAAAAATTTAAGACAGAAGACAGCAAAAAATAATATATTTTATTTTATTTATTTTATTTTTTCTTTGCTTACGATATGAATAAATTCAATTGGCACAAAACTAAATACAGGTTTTTATCAGCACGATGCAATTCGACAATTCCACATTAATGAAGTTAATGAAAACTTATGCGTAAAAGTGAATTTCCCAATTTCAATTACTACTCTCATGCCGAAATCGCAAAAGAAACCCATCAGCAATATTAAGAAATCATGATATGACTGCTGATAATAATTAAATTACAGAAAAAAGAAGGAAAATAAAGAAACTTTCGGAAATAATTGAATATTGGGATTCGCTTTTCATTTTCATTTCTTTCTTACCATCTTCTCTTCTTTATCGTTTTGTGCTAGGGTTTCTAATGTGCCGACTGTTCCTATAACTAGGATTGGAATTTTATAAATATTCATGAATTTTTATTTTTTTATAATCTTTCAAAAGATTTTCTGATCGATTTCATAAATGTTCTGAAAAACAGTTTTTGTCTGCTGTAGAGTTCGACTGGGCTCAAGGGACATTACACATTTTATTTCTAAATAACTATAGGTTGTGTTCCAAATATTTAATAATTAAAGTTTGTAGTGAAATTTGGAAAGATTAAAGACGACTGAGCTTATATCTGAAATTCTAATAAACTGCTATCGAAATAAATTTTAATGCAGTAGCTGCATGATCCCACGTATTACGGTCTTAGTATTTACATTTTGAATATTGAAGCACTAGATCACTTCATTAAAAAAAACCCACATCAGCTCAGTAAATTTAACAGTCTATAATCCTCTATAAAAACACGCAACGACTTTCAACAATGTAACAGACAGGATGGAATCTCTACCAACAATTCAATCAATCGGTCAGTCAGTCAGTCATCCAACCAATCTAGTCATAATACACTCCTTATTCGTTTCTCGAGTGTGGAATGATCATCATCATCATTCGTACCTACATATATGCATGCGCGTTTCTTTTTCGATCGTCTTCGATTCGGAAGCTAATGATATGCTGATGCATACATATGAGGCAGGTAAGAAAACGAAAATAATATTTAATTCAATGCAATGATGCAATTTCTTTTCGTGTAATCAAAAAATTATAGTCCTTTTAGTCATATGTGATTTTTTATTTGTGTTTTAAAAGGCAGCAACAAGAAGAAGAAAAAAAAAATCAATTTTCTCATTTCTTAAATTTTTTATATCTTTCGTATTTTAGCTGTTTTATATGCATTTTTATTTTTTGCATGAAACTTAACTTTCAACCTGTACAATTGGGTATTGCAAAACGAAAATATAAAATATATAAATTATAAAAAAACTGGATAAGCACTTAAGGAGCAAGACGTTTCCGTCTTCATTTCATTGATTGCGGCAAATCAAAAAGTGCGTGTGAAATTGAAAATGAAAATGTTTCTCTTTGTGGCATTGGAGATGAAAATGAATGAAATGAAGACGAAGTGTAAAACTGGAATTTAAAGATGTTTAAGAAAAGAGCGAGCAAACTATCATTATATGAAGAGCTTTTAGCAATCAAACTTACCACACATAGAGAAATCTTTATGAGCTTTTAGCAGCTAGAGATTTGATTTTCCTCGTCATCTCTCTCATTCGTTCATAGATTTTTTTTTTTTTGAGAACACAATACATATTGACGTTCGATTACTTGTTACATGCTAAAATTCGTCGTTTATATATTTTTTTAATATATTGATGATGTATGGTACTTTTTGGATCTGGATTTAGGGAATTTGGTTTAAACTCGACCACAAATGATCTTGATCAAAATAATAAAACTTTTTATGCCTTATTTAAAAAAAATTGATAAAATAAAGGAGGGTAACGTAAGGAATTGCAGAGACGTGAGAATTAAAAATGTTTAATTGTTCAAGACCTTCTTGCTTATCCTAGATGTTTAATTCTAAAATTGAATGAATTATATTTTATATTTTTTATTCAGTTTATTATGTCGTGGCAAGGATTTTTTGTGGTTTAATAGACCCCATCATCCCATTGTTACAAATTTTTATTTGAAATGTATTAAAGTTCCTAGACCTTACTTCATCCCTAAAAAGTAAACCTCATTATCATTTTATCTAATTTTGTGTCGAGGTTCAGATTACCAACTTCTTACTATGCGACTAAGTTGAATTCGGTGAATCTCAATCATTTTTAATTAAAGGACCGTTTGCTTATTACGTAAGCTTTTATTTATTAGGGAGGACTTAGATTTTATGACAGCTCCAGCAAACAATTCTTCATACAAATTTTGTGCATGGGGGGGGGGGGGGGGGGGGGGGGTGTTCTAAGTTTTTTATCGCGTTCCGTCATAAGTGATCGACTTCTAAGCTAGTTTATGTGAATTCATATTATTTCTTAATTGTTTAAACATACTATAATGACATAAGTGACAATTAATTTTGAATTAAGAGTATTCAGCTTAACACATCTAATATAAATCTGAATTCAGCGTTCAATCGTTTATAAACAAGCTTTTTTAAAAAAAATAAATAAATACACGATGAATTAAATCAATTTTAATCAATTTAGATAGTGCCGTTGCTGCTGTTTTTTTTTGTCTCAACATTCGTCAATGTATTGCAAGTTGGAATTGCACAAATACAATCTAGAGACAGAGAGAAAATATATAATCGAGTCTAAGCTTTTTTCATATTATATTAAATTATATAGTGAGAAGTTGTTCAAAGCAAGTAGAAAAAAAAGCCAAAGCAAAACTGACTGTTAACTCTTTCAATACACACGCTAGAAAGAGAAGCAAATCGCATTTTTTTTCTTGTATCTTGTGTTTTTTTTTATTTTTTTTTCTTCTCCTCTCTCTGAACTCTGCTTGTGCTTGTACAGCTTCGTGCTTCGCGAAAAGGCATTTTACTATATTACTCGGTCAGTTGGATTCGAGGATTGAAAATGAACGTTAGTTATTTTTAATTTTCCCCTCGATTTAAGACATTTTTTTGCTTACAAATTAAATAAAATATAAAATTGAATAAGAAGTGTTGATTATCATCTATATCTGTATCACACATTAAGTGCTCTACATATTTTATATTAGATGCTTTTATTCCTTACACACATTTTTATTTGTTGTTGTTAACATTAAGTGCACTTTTTTGTAACATAAGATTGGATATATCAAGAAGAAGAAAATAATTTTAATTGAAAATTTAGAATGGAATTCAATTGAAGAAAAGAAACACTAAACATTTATGTGAATATACATCTGTGAAATCGGCAAAAAAAAACAATTTTTGTTGTTGGATGATATGATGTGTATAGTTTGAAATAAAAAATAATAAAAGAAACCACCAAAAAAAAAAAAAATACTAATAATAATAAAAGAAAAAACTCTTTTTGAAGATGAATGAAAGAAAACAAGAAGAAAAATTAATAATACGTTCAATTAAGTGTTAAATTACTATGATTGCAAATATCGAATGGATGAACAAAAAAACATATCTATAAAAAAATAAGCGAAACAAAACGAAATGAATTATTATCAAAAAATAATATATGAAAATAAAGAAAAGTTTTTTCAAAAATTGAATTCATGTGTGCTGCTTGATTCATGAAAGTTTTGAAGTGAATTTATATGTATGCCGACAATTTTTGATAGTGCCTAATAAACATTTATGTTCACCCCACAGAAAAAAGTATATACATTTATAAAGTGAAGAAGAAGTAACAATAATAATAATCATAAAACAGTAAATGCATCATCTCCAAATCTGGTGATAATTTTCTACAGAAATTAACAGAAAAAAAGTAACAAAAAGAAGATATAGAGGAACACAAAAAAACATTTCTACTGTTTACTAATAATTTTTAACGTTTTTGATCTATTGGTGCTTAAATGTGATAAACATTAAAACTGTTATAATCGTGATTCTAAATTTACATTGACTCATAACCTGCCTAATTTTTTATCCACAAAATATACTTCCCTGGATATAAAATTCACATCTCATCTTCTAATTGAATTTCTGGAGTAAAGAATAGCAGACATTTCGGTGAGTATAGCAATAAAAGTTACGTCTATGCTGTATATTTTGCTACAGCAGAAAGCAAAATTGATTGAATCAGATTGAAATTCTTAAATGTCATTAGTTGTGTTCTCCTTTATAATTTTTTTTTGCTCCATGAAACACGCCCGAAGCTAAATCTATTGTGCTCGACAAACTACATAAGACATACATACATTTTGAACTACATACACTCAAATATGTCTACATAGCGCAAAGTCTCTTTTAATAATAAAAAAAACTAATGATCTCAAATAGTTAAAATATCAAATTTAATGCTGTAGAGGAGTTTGTGAAGAGAAGGAAAAAAATTGCCTACCATGGACTTGTATAAATCGCCGGGTTTTGCCTAGATACACGCATTGAAGTCATTTATTTTTTTTTCATGCCATAGACAGACATAACGTATATTATATACACACATAAGTGTATGCATTAAAGCAGATCTAATTTTGGTTCGATAAATTTATATCGCTTTCTTGACTCGTTAACTCAAAGGAAAAAAAATTTTCTTTTTGACTCGCGTCTAAATTTATAGAAAAAAAATGTTCTTCTTATCAGGTTTCTGCGAATTTAGATTTTTTTTGGAAATCAAAAGAAAAGGAAAAGAAGTTTGGTCAAAAATTAGTTGTTAAATAATGAGGGCAAAAATAATATTTTTGGGTTTAAAGCAGAATTGTGCTAGATAGGAGTTTATGAAGGCTAGCTAGATTATTTCATTTATTAATAGACAATGTATATTTGGCACTCAAAAACATAATAACTTGAATTTTTTTTTTAAAAAAAGAAGGTTGACGAATTTATTTTTAAAGTTGGAAAAATTTTGTGAGCTGTTAAAATTTTCCAAAATTAACGTAATTTCTAAGATCGTCATACTGGTGCGACTAGTGTGAGTTCTAGTTTTTCTATGATGTTTTTTTTTTATAGTGACAAGTACGTCTCAACAAAAATCCAAGCATACCCATTAAATATAGGAAATTCAATTAAATGATAAGACTTAAAATTAATTGTCATAAGGTCACGAATAAATGACTTTAGAAAATTAAAATTTTGTTGTTTAACCTGAAAAAAATATTGAATCACAAAATCAAGGCACAAAGAAGATCAATCAAATCCAATTGCATTCAATGTGCCATCAAGAAAAAAATATTTTACACGTTCGTTCATCTTGCTTCATAGCTGAATTATTTAGACATAAAATTAATGGGGAATTTATGTAGTCTATAGTAGATCACAAAGCAATCAGCATCATTTATAAACCGAGCCCCGCATGACTGTAGAAAAAAGTTCTCTTTCCTCCAATTAAGAGCATTAAATTTTCATGAACGAATATAATAAATTTCAAGCTAATTTTGCGGCAGTATAATTGAGCTTCGAAGGGAATTAATTAGAATTTATATTCTCCATTTTTCTTAATTCACTATTTATATTTCATAGTACATACTTACTCTCTCGATCAATTGTTCGATATATACATTAATATTATTACTATTCCATGAATTTATATTTTTTTAAAAAAATCAGAGACGACTAATTGTTTGTGTTGCAAATAGATGAGCCATTTGTTTTGTTATTAAATATTATTATATCATCATGGCAATTGAGTTTGAATTTGTGCATTGAGAGATTAAGTATTTGTGTACTTAATTAAAATTGATTATTGTTCATTATGGATTCAGTCATTTTGTATTTTTAAAGATTTCATCTTTTATGTTTTTTCACGATTTGTTTTCATCTCTTTTTTTTCTGCCTAGTTTCGTCTTTAAGTCTCTTTTTATAGCTTCTTATTGTATCTTTCTCATTATTATTATTACTATTATTGTCTTTCAAATTAATCCAAGCTAACAATATTTATTGTGAATTATATCAAATTATGTGCCACTCTTTAACCCATTTTGGTGAAACGTCTTTATCTCCACGGAGGTGGCACAAATCATTCTGACTGGGATGAATTGAATATTGAAGAAGAAGAAGAAAGAAGGCAATTTTCACAACATAAATCTTAGCAGTTATGCTTTAACCCCAACTGATTATTGAACAAACATTGAAAAGAAAAGAGGAAAAAAAAAATCTCATCCATATGTATGTACATGACTATATCTAGGTATGTATGTATGTATCTACATTTAGAGGTAAAGATAGGCATTCATGAAGAAATTCAATAAAAATGTTTTATTTTATTTTTTTGCGCGCTTAATGCTTAAAAAGAGGAGAGGAAAAGAAATGAAATAAAAAATCATTTATACATATATTTGTAAGAGCTTAATGCTTCTAATACTTTCAATTCAGAAGAGCAACAAGAAATAAAAGATGAAGAAGTGACGGAAAAGGTCATGATTGTTGTAATTATAATTAATGTTTTTCTCTCAAAAATGTATTAAACATTTTGACTTAAATATTTCTAATTTTTGTTCATTCGATTTCTATTATTGAATTTCAATTTTTGTTTTATTATTGCTTGTTAGATCTTTTCGTTGTCAATAGATTTAAAGATTTGAGTTTTAATGAAGGAGGTGAAATATGATGGAATAAAAATATTTTGTCGAACAACAAAACTTTTAACGCATTTTTAAGTTTATTGAAATAAATAAATCAATATGTTTCAATTTATGTATCGTGGCACACTTGTTGTTTAATGTTGTGACCAGGGTTAAAGTCTTTAAACTTGATCTGGCGATTTTCCAAATAAAAAAAAAAGAAGAAATCTTTACAAATTTTTAAAACTTAGAATAATATTGAAACTTCAAGTATAGAGTTTATACTACAGACGATAGAGCCTGTTCTCATAACAATGCTTTAAACATGAAATAGATAACAATTAGCAACAGAGCTCTAAATAAAGGAATAAAATAAATTCTAATTAGTAATAAATAAATCTATAAAAAATACAAATTTTGCAATATATAAATGAATTCAAGTATTAGACATGAAACGGATCTAGACAAGATGAAAACGGACAGATATAATACAAATTACTAACAATTTCTTACCTTGAAAAAATACGCTAAAAGAGATTAATTAAAATTTTGATTTCATGCGCGAAAGTTGTATTTTAATTTTTTTTAATATTTTGAAAAAAAAATCACCGATTAACAAGTTAAGTTGATCTTTGAATTTTAGTTAACAAATTTCAAATGATAATTACTGTAGTCTATGAGAGATACATATTCATTCCCATAATCAGAAAATTATATATATATTGTAAATACATAACTTAAGATAAATATAATCTCGAATGCATCAAGAGTGAATTGCAATTGAATTGATATGATAGTAACTATAACTATAACTATTACTAACGTTGTAAAACTACTTACTTATTTGCTTTAAATTCACATTAAATGCAAGCACGAAACAAGGCTTCGCCTTGCGTGTTATGTCACAAAAATTAATTGTAATTTATACAAGTGCGTTGAAAAAGAAGTGAATAATCGCTTTTGCTAAATCACAACAACACCTAATAACTTCATCTTAAATAGCTTTTAATATTTCTCTTTCTTTAGTGTTCATTATGAATTTTATATCTTTTTCATGTTGTTATAAAGAAAATTGACGTCTTCCTTCTTACATCCATTTTGTCGCAAACAACAGAAAAACTACGCGCTTGTACAATAATTTTTTGTGGGCCATGTTTGGAACAATTTTTTAGCATATTTTCTTATAAATTGAGACATTGTTCATATTTTGTAAGTCTATCTGTTGCTTAACTTTCAGTCTTCCAGTCATTCAAAAAAAAACTTCAAAAATGTCATTTCCAAACGTAATAAAATAAGTAAACGAGTCCTAATAAGAAGATATTTTTTATTTGTACGCAATTCTGTGCGAGAAAAATGCGCTTTAGTCGCACATGATTGACCACATCTAAGACAAAAATTTTTTTAAGTTTTTCTTTCAAATAAGCAAAAACTCAACAGTCACGATAATTTTAATGAGTTCATTTTTTTCGTTTGCGTTATTAATCTAGTTTTTTTTTCTTGCTGTCTCTCTTATACTTAATAAATTCATATGTACCGAAAATTTTTCTCTCCTTTCGGCATCCATACTATAATGATGCCAGCATTTAAAATTTAGTTCAATGTATGAAAGGAAAGAAGAAAACTAAAAAAATTATTATTAATTCCTATCTTCGAAAAAAAAAATTGCTCTTATTGTGAATTTTTTTTGCGCTGTCTATACATGATCTTTTCCTTACATTTTGCTCAAATCTTGTCAGACTAGTTTTTTGCTTCTAATTGTACTTATATCAAAAATGAGAAAAGAGTGAGAGAGAAGGATGGAATAAAATAATATTAAATTAAAAAGCGGAATCATTTCTTTTAGAGAAACTTTTTTTTTACTTTATTGATCTGGGGGCAAGAAACTTTACTTTTTTATGTGTTCCAAAACTAAGTTTCCAAAAGCACTGACTCATTGATTATAAAATTGCTAAAGAAATGAGCTAAACAAAATGGCATTTTGCGAATGATTATTTTTTTTTGTAAATTTTCTTGGTGCAGGTTATGAAACATTTCAGGTGTCAAAAAAATGCTGTTAAACATTTAAAAATGTGTATCATGACAATATCCAAGATGGGTCGTTCAAAGATGCTAATAATTAATTTTACAAAAAAAATGTGGCATAGCTTTTGTTGATGTCAACGTATCAAGAGAACTTATTTGAACATCAATGCTAGTTTAAATCATCATGTTATTCTTGGTTCTAATTTTAATACAAGTAAAATAGTCCGTTTAACATGATGTTATAAAAGCGTTGTGCCAACAAACAGCCAGACAATAAACACAAAGACCTAATTTGAACTAATAACTTTTATGACAAAAACTAATCTTATTTTAAAAGTTTTGGTCAAATTTAAAAAAAAAATTATGTTTGTGCTGAAAAAAGGTGCACGATTTCAACAAAGTCAAGCACATACTTTGTATGAAAACATTCATCCTGGTACAATCTAGTAAAAGATTTATGCTGAAGCAAGCATTCAAACGATATCAATT